TCTTCGAACGGATTGGCGAACCCGGATAGCTCCTGCGTGGATTATGTTCGAGAAAGAGGAGGATTCGGCTTCAGATGAGACGAAGCTGGGGCGAATTCGGCGCGCAGGACAGTAAGACGCCGGCCGCTCCGCGATCGAAATGAATACTCATCACGGTGACGAAAGTTTGATTCCGGTTCGGTAATGAGCCAAACCAAAGGTCGTGGGAAATTCATTCGAAGATCACAAAGGTCAATGAAGCCCAGAGATGGATGGCTCCACAACGTCCCCAACCTTCGTTCCTATTTCGTTCCTCATGACTGATGTTATCCAGGGATTTCTGATAGATACGGGTGTATATATATAGCATCAAAGCAGAGCTGAAGATAATCATTTCGAGAATGTCTGTGTATGCCTCGATTATGAGGTTCTCACAGACCGTATCGGCGGGAGTACCGTCTCCAAAGATTTCTTCCGCACGGCAATCTTCAATACTGACCTTCGAAGAGCGGCGAGGAACGCCGAGATTTCGTCCTCTTCCTGTTGTTGTTGTAGTGGCTGCTGCTATTGTTGCGGCAGCCACTTCTGCTGCTGCAGCTGCCACGGCTGTTGCTGTTGTGCTGCTCCAACAAAACCAGCAGCTGCCCAACGTGGTTGAGCAGCTGCTGGTTTTGTCTGAGGAGCGGTTTTTTGTCAGCTTCTAGTTCCTCAATTCTTCGCTGCAAGGATGGAAATGTCCGTTTAAGAAGAGACTGAGGCCGCTACTTGTCATTTCGTTCTTGAGGCACTACATTCGGCGAATTGACAAGCTTCAATTGCCATGAACGTAAATGCCCCAAATCATGTACAATCATCTCAAGAATATTTCCATCTGAATGTATCGATGCGATTGCAGAACTCAGACGAGAGACGGAGGAGGGACAAGACACCTGGCTTGACCAGGGAAGAGCTTTGATCTTCCCTGATTCCTTTTTGTCTCCGAGCGGATTGGCGAACCCGGATAGCTTCTACGTGGATTAAGTTCGAGATAGAGGAGGATTCGGCTTCAGATGAGACGGAGCTGGGGCGAATTCGGCGCGCAGGATAGTAAGACGCCGGCCGCTCCGCGATCGGAATGAATACTCATCACGATGAAGAAAGTTTGATTCCGGTTCAGCAATGAGCCAAAGCAAAGGTCGTGGGGAATTCATTCGAAGATCACAAAGGTCAATGAAGCCCAGAGATGGTTAGCTCCACGACGTCCCGGTTCGAACAACGTTTCGGCTTCTACGAGGCTCTCTCGTCAAAACACGAGTGCATGATGATGCTCCCGTGAGAGAAGCATGTCCCAACAGGGAACTCGAAATTCGTTCGTTGAAGGAAAATTGTTTCGTTTGTTTGGGGAGAAACTTACGAAAACATCGCCGCTCTACAGATATTGAGCGACCCTGACCTCCCCTCGCAATCGCTCCCCGATCATGCCGCGGTTGTGATTCGTGAGCCAATTGGTGCAGTTGGTCACAGAATGAGCCCGAACGAGAATGAAACCGTCGGAGCCGGAGGAAAGACGCAGCGAAGGATACATTTCTCAGTTCCTTCCTCCCCATTAGGTATCCTCCCTCCCTCAGGATTTCCTCTCTCAGTTTTCATAGTGGCTCAGAACGCTTGTATAATATAATTGATAATTATTTATCATCGCCGCTTGTGAAACTTGTGAAAATATTGCGAACTCATAGAGTATCGTGAACGATGGATCAAACAATTGGATCGGTCCGAACGACGACGCTTCCATCGCATCGGAAGAGCTGGAGCCACCTTGATATCCACTTGCGAAGAACTCTACAAAGCAATTCGAGCCTCGCAAGCTCTTACTCCGATGGAATTCTACCACACCTACGAGTCATACCGTCGAGGAATGAAACGGGAAGTTCTCAGGAGGAGTCTGACAATATGGATCATGACGGTCCTGATTCGGGAGTCATGACGGCACATTACGTACACGTCAGAGGATTTCGAGAGGTTCCTTATGGCCGAATGAGAGAGGTCGTGAAAAATTACGTCAAGTCTTGCGTGGTCTGCCAGAAAAGTAAGGCAAAATTGACACCGAAAGTTGACACCTTGTGTCTCAGAACAAATGATGATCCTCCAATGCACACGGTGCATTTGGACCTCCCGGAAGAGTCGGAAAAGAGCTGTCCGGGGACCAAGAATCGTGCTTTCTCGTTCGCCGTCGATCGGAACTCGAGGTTTGCCATTGCTCGTTCTGGCCGAGAAATCGCGCAGTCGGTGATCAGTTTGTCGAAGCAGGAAGTACTCGAGAACACCCGAGTTGCATCGGATCGAACGGGAGTCCTCGGAAGCAAGAGAGTCGAGGATTGGGCTGCCGCCAGAGGCCGCGAGACATCATAATCGGTCTCATTTTAACACGATAGGATGTTCGCCGAGTTTTGCCTTGACGGCTGAAGTAACATGTCTCCCGGCTGATGAAAGGTTAGGTATTCGGGATCGGTTACGTTTGACGGAACGGAGGGAATCTCCCGAAGAAGAACTCGCGGCGAGGAAATCCCAGAAAAGAACTTCGATTTGAGGCATTCTCAGAAAATACCGAATTATGCAGCGGGGGATTAAGTCCTCACGAAAGTGGGTGATGTTGACAACTTCTCCGGCCCTTAAGTCATTGCGGACATCCAATTCTTCAATAGAGTTCCGAAGAGGATATCTTAGGTGTACGATCGAGCGGTTCAGAGGGCTTGTCCATTGAAAAGAGACTACATCTTCAGTCCCAGGAGGGACAACTCTTCCGGAGGGGTGAGTGGGAATCCCGCTGTGAGTCGGCGGCTCTTGACGATGTATGCAAGGAATGAACGAAGTTATTCAGTAGTCGGTCTCAAGCCAGGCTCATCACTTGAGTCTCAAGTCATCTATGGTCAGTAACCACGAACGAACAAAGAGGACACTGCCTTTGTGCGTCTTGCGAGACTGGAGATGTGGTTGGATCGTTGGTCGACCCTGGTGATAGGTTGCTATTCAGACTCCGTTGGAGACACTCATCGCTCTGTATGCGAGGGACCTTAGAATTTCTTTAGGACGTCAGCGGGAGACGTCTCCGGAATTAAGTGGAGTCAACGCCTGAGCAGGTCAGGGAGCCTTCAGAGGAATGAAGGGCGACCGAGAAAACTGGTGCGAGCTCGTCAGATCTCGATTAAGATTTTCACATAAATCCGCTCCTCCCCACCGATGGGCAGACTCATGAGGGAATTGGGCTTCGGTCATAAATCGGACCCTTTCCGGTTGACCTGGAGCAACAAAACAAACTGAACCCGATTCTCGAAGAAGAGGTGACGAGAAGCCTTCTACTTCGATGGAAAGCGAAGGAGCTGAATGAAATCGAACTCTCGATCTACGGGGTGGCGAAGTCGAATGTCTGGCGGGACACGAAAGAGCGCTGAAGTAACCTGCGGGCGTCATCTGAGCCCCAGTGTTTCCGTGAATTCCGTTTTTTCTAGTGATCGGAGGGATTGAGATTTTCGACGGGAATACACAATCACCGCCCCATCGCAGTACTTCAAGAAGTTACAGAAGTATTCCGCGAAAACTTCAATTATTTGACTCGAAATTGCATTGTGAAGAGATATATGGCACAGATAATATCCCGAGAAATTCCTAAGGATCGATCGCGGGCCACGGGAAAAATCTCGCGGGCTACTCGTGTCCTGCGGGACACGTCTTTGACACCCCTGGTCTAGGCCAATGACAAGTTCGAGGAGCAGAAGCCGTTCGACACCGAGAAAAATGAAAGGGATAGCGACATACGGACTGCTTAGAAAGAGTCGAGGTAGCAATCTGTTTGTCTTCGCCGGAACAGGGGAGCGACCGACGAGAAGCCCCGGAGCCCTAGAGGGAAATACCGAAGGATCGACCCGCATTGTGTCAGATGTGGCAGGGACAGCATTCCCCGCACTGTGACGGAAAATTCCCCCTCACCACTCCGATATCGACGACGAAATGGCCAGGGCGTTGGGCTTCACCGAAGGAATACACGGAAATCTTGTGAGGATGTTTGGACGACTTCTGGGAATGATGCGAAATCGAAACCCGAAGATCTGCTGAGTAATCGCCCTGAAACAGGGTCGCATGTAGCAAATGATCGTCAAGGATGATCGCCCGAAGGATTCATCATAGGATTTGGATTGTAGGGGATTCAATCCTCTCGAGTGTCCGAGTCACACGTGGCAATCGGTTGTCTATGTAAATGAAAAACCTCGGTCCACTATACGACGATTCAATTGGCGCAGTCAACATCTTTCGTGCCATGTCTCAAACGACTTCCTCCGAAGGTCCCTTGGTGGAAAAGATTGTGGAGGCTCCCCGCATGTTGGCCATCGAAGAGAGAGACACAAGTCGGGAAACGAATGGAGCCGTGGTTCTCGAGAATGCTTCAGCCTTGATCGGCACTTTCGAATACGATTCGAAGCGCGGGTTGACGTTCCAGCCGTGGTTCTCCGATAATGGACACAGCTAACAAACTTTCTGTGAGTCTGATGCGGAGCGACGTCAGCTTCCCGTCGCGCGCTCGGTAAAAGTTAGTACACGCGAACCTCACCGAATGAGCCCGAAAGTCTGGAGTATGCTGCACTGGTCATCACACTGATAGACATGTTCGCCGTTTCGGAGTCTCTGTTCTGTCGTGGGTTTGAAACGTTGCTTTGAGATCGCCACGCTCGCGAGGAAACCGCAGAACAGATCGCGAGTAACGCTATCCTGAGAGCGGACGGGTTGAGTTCTTTCTAATTTGACTCCCTTCGAATTTTCATCATGCTTCCTTCTGTTTCCGAACCCAGCTATCAAGGCTTGCGAAATTTTGTTACTTTGCATAAAAGCCGTCGACGACAAAGCTTCGGTAACCGCTGATGAGGTTCGGTTGGTCATGGTGAAATATGAGACCGGTTCAAGCAATGCTGAAGTCAAGTACAGTGCGACGAAGGAGAAGCCAACTCCGACCGTTTTCGCCATCTCGCTGAGAGAGCCAGCGAAGACTTCTCAAGCAACCGGTCACCAGTCATTCAAGTAGCAAGCGTCTTGCGCTGTGCGTTTGCCGAAAACTCGTGCGGTCGAATACCGTCTGCATCAACAAGGTGCTCAGATCTCCGCAACTTTCTGAGGGTCGGACGTTCATCACGCTCGACTTTAACGGGTCACCCATCGGATTCCGCGCAAATTCTGAGGCTAACATCTCTACCATTGGGATTCGGACTTGAACGTCTCTCGGGTGCTTGGCGCTCACTGAGTTCGGAAGCCGATGCACTTCTGTCGATGGTGATGATATTATGCTCATGGGCGATTCCATGGCGAAATCCACTCACAACAGAAATACCATCCAAGATTCTCTACCCGTTATCATGGGGAGCGAATTGAGCCTGTTCTGCGATCGCTTGCCTATACAGCTCGGCTTGGAGGTCTGGAAAGTCGAGAATTCACAACCAGACGTGGGTCTCGTCGACTCGACTTCTCAACAGACAAGTTTTCCGAAGCTCTTCGAGTCGGAGCTCGGGCTCTGTAAAGAAACCTAATGGCTTCTCACGAGCTTGCGCAGATTATTCCACCGGACTCGACGAAGCTCTCGTGGATATCTACCATCCGCTTCCTAATACGGAGGGAGTCACGACCAAGTTCTCCGGAGAGTCTTCCCAAAATTGGATGTGGCCGAAGCCTACTCGAAATCGTTACTACACTGGGTGATTACTGAATAGAGAAGAGACCGTATTTGGCTTGACGGGTTCAGTCGCCAAGAGGCTGAGCAGCCAAGAACTTAGACGATTCCAGATACAGCTTCCCAAACATTGACTCCCTTGGGCGGCAAGGTTTGAGGATTTTCCCCCGACCGCGAAATTTCCGAAACCATTCCGCCAACCTAGACCGTGATTATGGCTCGAGAATTTACGAAAAGCTCCGTCTAGACTCACCCGCATGGTCGAATTTTCGCTGTCTGTAATCAGGTCTTGCACGTGGTCTTGCACGTCTCCTCATTGAAGCGTGCTCGGGTTACAAGACATCTGCGGCTCCTCTCGTCGAAAGAGGAAACGAAGAGAAACACCAGAGACATCACGATACAGTTTCAGCTCAGGTTCATTTATATATTTATTAATTGCACTCGATAACAGAGTATAGTACGGCCACATCGCCTTCGTGGTGCGTAAATTCAGCTAGTTTTCTTCTTACTTAGACAGTACAAGGAGGTTAATCCGGACCGGCATTTGGCAGCATGGTATTTCGGGCATGAGTCTCCGCAATACCTACAAAGACACTTAGCTCCATCGGCGTCATGGAAGCTGTTGTCCGTACAGAGCAGATGATGATATCCATGAACTAGATATCTAGTGTACACATGTCTTTCATCTGAAGCGGATTCTGCCCAGAGTTGCCGCTTTCTGAAGATTTCTTCCTGTTCCAGCTCGCTTAGAGCATCGTTAACTTTCTTACTCCACTCCTGGAGCACTTGAATGAAGGGAGGCGTCTGTTCTTCCCGAATTCTTTCTCTGATTTCGTTAATCATGAGTGGGCTCCCCGTCAGGGCGTAGACGTAGCGGCTCCGCGTTGAGCGGTGGAGGCTCAAGGCTCGTTTCATGTATAGCGTGAAACATTGTTCCAGCTTCTTGAAATCTGTCGAGGTGAGGTGGTTCCAGACTCGTTTCAATCCGTAGCTGATGATAGGCATCAGCTTCATTTTGAAAAGAGCGATGGCGGTATGCAGGGAAAGGCGGTTGAGTTTCCCGATGACCGTGAAGGAGGCGGAGATTGCTAGACTCGTTCGTTCTTCAATGTGAGCATGGAAATTGCCCACGGAGCGACTGAATCGGACGCCCAGGTATCGGAAGTTTTTCACAAGCTCTAGAGGTCGGCCGTCCAGGAGCAGTCGATCATCTTTTGCCGACCGCGGCGCGCGACCGAACTTGACAACCTTTGTCTTGTTCTTGTTGATCTCGAGTCCCTGTTTTCGCAGCCAGGTCGAGATCTTCGGTAAGATATTTCGGAGCCCATTCAAGTCGGGGTGAGCCACAACAATATCGTCAGCATACAGGCACACGAATGCCCTCGATTCTGCCCGAATGAAATCCACCAGGCCCCGAATCAGCAGAATAAATGCAAGGCAACTCAATGGGTTTCCCTGCGGTGTCCCGTCATTTTGGCGTACGGAAACTTTTTCATGCTGCAGTTGAATCTGTAACAGATCCTCGTCAAAGAAACTGTCGATGACTCTGAGAGCTTTGCCTCCAACCCCCGCTTCAGCGAAACTCTGTACCATCAACACCCTTGGCGCTCTGTCAAAGGCCTTCACACAGTCAATGAAGACTGCGTACATCGTCCCCTGCGTTTCCACTACCCGCTCCACCTCGGAGGAGAAAAAGTGGATAGCATCCAGTGTGCCCATGCCCCGCCGGAAACCGAACTGTTCGTCGGGAAGGGCTCTGTCAAGCACCGGCTCCAGTCTGGAGATCAGGAGTTTACAGAAAATCTTCTTCAATGCTTCTTCCGATGCTATGCCTCGGTAGAGATTTGGATCCGACCTCCCTGTATGCGCTCCGCCTTTGAAAAGGAGCGAGAGGCGAGCGTTGTGCCATGACGTCGGTAAGCGGCCTTCGTCAAAGATCTTATCGAACAGGAGTTTGAGATTCCGGTGAATAACTTTTTCGGTTTGCTGCCAGTGCTCGTAGAAGCAGCCACTGGGGCCGGAGCTCTCCTTGGATGGAAGGGTCCGTAAAACCCCAGCAATCTCTTCTCTTGTGAAGGGCCGATCAGCAATGAACTGATCGTACGTGAGTGGTAATTGTACTCGTACTGGAGGCCGATTTCTCGCTTCCTCGTTCCACAGTAGCTGCTTGAAGTGTGATTTTACTTCTTCTGGTTCAATCGGCGGCGCCGTCTCAACCCTTCCCCTCCTCAGGTAAAGGTGCGGGTGTCGACTGGTCTCTGACAGGAGTTTACGCTCCTCTTCGAGGTCGAATCGCCTTTTCACTATTTTCAGCTCGTGGTGATAGTGTCTTCTTGCGAGGGCATATCTCGTCGAGGCTGTGGGGTCGGATCTACACTTCCGTAGTAGAGCGAGAACTTCCTGACGTAGGCGGTAACAACGCGAGTCGAACCACCGGGGGGCAGTTCGCACCCACCTCTTTCGCCTGTCGCAGCATCTTATGACTTTTGTCGTGATCGCTGCTTCGATTCCGTCAACGGTTTCTTCAGAGAGAGCATGAGCTGGAGGATATTCCGCTGTCCGAAGCTTTTCTCTGCGAATTTTCCGGCTCAGAGTCCGGTGCTGTGGAGCAGGAGAGAACTCTCGCAGCAGGACCTCGGTTCTCACCGGTTGGTGCTTGCGCACCTCCAAATCCTCAACCCTAGTGCCCGAGCAGGCGCCGTTCGTGAATATGAGGTCGATGGTGCTACTTCCATTGAAGCAGATGTATGTTTTGGCGTCAGCTTGGTTTTGGCAACGCAAACCCAAACGCTCCATGAACTCTCGCAAGGCGTGGCCCTCACTGGACGTCGTGGCCGAGTCGATTCGGCAGTTGAAGTCGCCACCGATAAGAGCCGGCCTCGACAGATCTAGCTTTGTTAGTCCATCCCCGACGATGGATAACACTTGCTCAATGCTGCAATCTGGTTGCACGTAGAACGCACCTATACTGAAGCTATCACAGCACAATAATAGGGTGTTCTCATCACTATGTACGATTTTCATTCGTGGACCTCCCTTCCTGAGGTACACGGCGATTCCACCCGAGGGTCTCCCGGCACCCGGGCTTTTCTTTGCGAAAGAATTATATACAGTTTTGTCCTCAAGAGGAAACGGCTCTGTGAGTAGTGTCTCGGTAAGAATGATAATCTCGTCTCGCTGAAAGTAGCTTGGATCGTGAAGGCGCCGCATGGCACCCCCGAGGCCCTCACAATTCCAGAGAACGACGGATCTCAATTCATTTCGAGCTCTCGGCCGACATGCTAGTCATTTCTTCTGTTCTTCATCGGACGGTTTGTCTTCGATGTGCTGGATTACCGATTCCTGGCTCGGTGGGCGGCCGATCCAGCGCCGATATCTCATTTGAGGCGGGTAAAAAGCGGGGTTGGAGCAAGTTTTTACGTGTTTGGCTCGCAAGCCTATGCAGAAGGCAGAATCAGTGCCTTTCTTCTTCAGCTTCCACACTGCGAACGGGGTTACTCCTCGGTCTTTGAACCATTGCCGTGGTCTTCTTGCTCATCCCGTCAACATAGATTGCGTGGAATAGGGGTTACCGGCTTACAAACTCCAGGCTGCCCTCCTTCGCATCCGATGTACCAGAGCTGAGTTTAACCGGGGGTCGTTTACGCTTTTTCTCGGGCCTGACTTGCTCATTGTTGTCACCATCCTTGCAACTCTGTGCGATTGTCGGAGCGCCGATAGCAGCCCTTTCAGAGGCCGCTTCAGTGTCCATCGGCGTCTCGGCGTCGCCGGACCGTTCGAATGATTCGGACAGCCCTGCAGCTCCGCGATCTCGCTTGATGGCCGGCCCCTTCCCAAAGGATTCCACGTCCTTCTCGGCGATTTCCTCTCCGTTGCTCTCTCTGAGGGGGGTGCTCTGAATAACGATAGCTTCTCTTCGGGAGAGGGTGAGGCCGTTCGCGGCTTCTTCTTCGGTTTCCGTGTTTTACGACTTCCGTCGTTTAAGACCCCGGGTGCTTGTGGGGTAGACTGAGCCACAGGGGGTCCGCCCCCTGGTTGCTCATCCACCAGTCGCATCCTGGCGAGTTCGCTCACCGTTCTCTGGAGTCCCAGAACTATGGAACGCAGCTCGAGATTTTCCTCCTGAAGGCTGCACAGACGCTCGGCCAGGCCTTCATTTGAATCCACTCGTATCTTGCAGCTTCCACAGGGTCCAAATCTTGTGTTCACCGGTGCGGCGGGGTTCCGACATGCACTGTGAACGACATTTCCGCAGCCTCGACTGCAGATAATCCATGAAACTCCCAAATCAATCGGGAGCCCACACGATGCACACCTTGTCAACATGGCGGCAACAGCTCAGGTTCATTTGTATTTGATAAAAGGGGAGCGGATCTCTGCAAGGTTTTCGGGGGCAGATCTCGAAAGTTACTCTCGAACACTTTCAGCGTACAGTACTACTCCCATCTTTTGTCTCTACTGGCGGGTCGCCATCTCCCAGTTCCTATATCAACTGGAACGAATGGAAGATTCCGATAAGCTCCCCCCGGCCTGAAAATGCCAGAAGCCTCTACGGAATTCGCGCGATCGCGCTAAATATCCAGTCCTATTCATTGTGGCTTCCCAGATAACTCGACAGTGCCCGTCGATCAGATGCGATCCAGTTTGAAAGATGATTTTGATGAGAACCACCAGATTCGCCGATTGGTTGCGAGCAATTCCAATCTTCAAGGCTAAGGAGGATCTTCTGCGCATTGACGACCAGTTTGCAGCAGCCTTCGAGAGCATCCTGAAAATTTCCTTGTCAGGAGATGCTCTCACTCAGCTGAGTCTCCCCGCCCTCTCCGGCGGTACGGGCATCCCGACTCCATCGGACATCGCACTGGCTGCCTTTGCTGCCTCCTGTTACGCGGCTACGTTCGACGTTCGTGACGTTCTGAATGACTCGTCAAGAAGGAACCACCTCATGGACCTCGTGACGAATGAATTCCCTACTCGATTCGGTTCGACACCCTCCGAAGACGATCGCCACCAGCAACACAAGTGGACGAGGATCGCGAATGACTCCGTTCTTTCGGAACTCTGCTCGCGATTGTCCGGATCGGAGGTTGATGCAATTCGATTCTCCCACGCGTCTCTTCCTGAGTCGGGATGGTGGCTTCAAGCTCTGCCCTCAAGGAACATAGGGACCCTGCTATCAGACAGAGATTTCATCTTCGCCGCCGGTCTCAGGCTCGGCCTGCCCCTGATCGACGAAGATCCTTGCCCGTGCTGCACGGCGCTAAATCGCCGAGGCCTCCATGGTCTCAGCTGTAACTCTCTGGGATCCGCCATGGAGCAGTAAATGACGTGCTGTCCCGAGCGCTACAGCAGGCTGGTGTCACAAACTCCAAAGAGCCCCGAAATCTGTCCCCGAATGACCAGTTGCGCCCAGACGGTATAACCCACGAGCCATGGTTTCGGGGTCGATAGCTGATTTTGGACGTGTGGATTAGAGACGCCCACGCCGCTTGTTATCGGCGGATTTCTCGAATCCATCCATCAACGGCAGTCCACGGCCCTACGATTCAACCCGCCAAAAGCGAACTCTTCGTTCAGGGCACTTCTGCGGTCGAGCTGTATTGCGCGCACCGTCTCTTCTCCGAGTGCCTACCTGGCTGCCGTCTGCTCCCTGACGAGAGCCACGTTGAGCTGCTGGGCGCCCCCCTGTTCGAATCCGGTCTGCCAAAGGCGCTCATGAGCAAGTCCGACGCCTTTGACGTCGTATTCCGCAGACTGTCCTTCGTGGGCAGTCATGTGGCGACTCACATCTTGCAGCGATCGGCCGGAGTGCCGAAGCTATCTGCTGCGAGCTAGTCCGGCCTTCATGGCCAAGGAGGATCTCCGGCGAATAGACGAACAGTTTGCAATTTGAGAGCGTCCTGAGAACTTCCCTATCAAGGGATGCTCTCATTCAGCTCACCCTCCCGGCACTCTCGGGTGGAATGGGCATTCCAATGCCATCAGACAGACCCGACCGAAAACTCATGTCCGACTTCGCTTTGAGCGTACTGCCAGTCGATCAGAGGATACAAATCAAACAGTTTATTGTCACACGAGCTGTGTAAATGCTTCTTGAAATATACAAATATATGTACATGTTCATGTGTACGCCGGACCGGGCGTTCAAACTCTGAGAATCTTCCCTCGTATCCTCCGATCCTGCTGATCGAACCGGCACGTACAAACTCCCTGAGGTGGTATCTTGGGCATCTCGCGCCGCAGAAGGTACATCGGCAGCGGTCGTCTGCCTCGTGAAATTCCCGATTTGCGCAGACCAAGTGATGGAATCCGTGGACTGCAAATCTTGTTATTGCATGTCGGTTATCCCTGTCAGCCTCTTTCTATTTGTTGTTCGTCATCGCTGGTGTTCTGTAGAGCTCTAAATCGACGTCGTCCATCTTTTGTTCCTGAGTGGTCAGGAAATCTCTGAATGCTTCGGTTTCGGCGAGATTTATCTACTTTACGGTATCTACTTTTCAGGTCCTCGATGAATGTTGAAGTCTGGGCCAGGAGATACACCAATCTGTTTCTCGTTGTGCGGTGAACGCCGAGGGTTCGCTTCAGGATTGACGACTTCGCTTTGTCGAGGGTGCTCATGTCGGCCAAGTTCAGATGTTCCCATGTGATCTGAACGGCATACGATGCTAAAGGCGCCACTTCTGCGTCGAAAAGTTCGAGAGCGGTTGCGAGGGACAACCTTCGAGGATTTGCTATCGATGAAGAGACAATTTCTGCTTTCCTGATTCTCTCTCTCACGTGTGCGCTGAACGAGTGCCCTGTCGATGCTGGCGTGACTCCTAGGTATGTGGAAGCCGTCACATATCTAACGAGTTCCCCATCGAGATTTATCCGATCACGCCCCGCCATGAGCTTTCGGCGTCGAACGACTTCCAGAGCGTCTACACCTACGGATTCTCGCGGTTTAACTGTTTGTCAAGCATGTCAAACAAGAAATAATGGATCCCGAACAATGCAGCAGGTGGCTGCCCAAACACCTGCTATGGTACTCTCCTTGACTCCGGGGGAAACTGCGATTCGCGCTGCGCTCAGCATCTCGAACAAGACCCGCCAACAGAAGAACGCAGGGCTAAGCGAATTTTCAGAAGTGTCTCGAGTTGCAGATGCTGGCCGCGCAGAAGAGCTCGAGCGTAGAATGAATCTGAGTCAGGATGGAGATTTGATTTGAAACAACTAGCCACGGCAACAAAAGTAAGGTGTTGCAGCTGTTCACTACGCTTGCGTGAGAGGGATGTCGAAGATTTCGGCGAACAAGGGCTGCAGATGCGAGAGTCTCTCCCAACGAGTTCTGAACCATTGGAGATGGTCCGCGTGCCGGTTGCCTAGCTGTAGGAGTTCGGGCAGCTCCGCGATGATTTGACTGAAGAGTTGTTGGTCAGATGGATGATGGGAACGTGGATCCTCGGTTCGCGCATTCACTTGGTCCTTCCGCTCTCTGCCTAGAATACTGGGGGTGGTTGACGATGTGCTCGGGGTTTCTCAAAGACTTCGTCTCCGCGAGCCCTTCTTGGAGGATTCGGCTTCCACGGAACTGTCCGCATTGCCTAACAGTGTGGTGGCACCTCGGAGATATTCTACGTGGAAAAAAAACCCGTCCCGCTCGTCAACTTTCATGTATTTGTTTCTTCTTTTCCTGGCTCCCGAAGAACCAGCCACGAATGATTCAACTTGGAGATCGCGACCTTTCTGTACGGTCTCGAGCCTGTTGATAAACTTCCAGATCGTCGGATGCTGTATCCCGAATTCTGAGGGGAGTCGAGTCGTCGGTGAGCCGCTTCGGCGTAGTTATTCGTACGCGCTCCCCCATCGAGCGTTCTTTGGTTAGCCGACCCAAAGATCGGCTCGACGGGAAGGTGAGGTGCTCTCCGATCCGAAGAACCGTCTTGGCGGATCCTGTTCAAGTGTCCGATATGGACGTACTCAAAATAATTTAGCACCGGAGCCATTTCGACGGGCAAGCCCGGCGAATTCTCGGAGACTGCGTTAATCTAATTCTGCCGGTGGAACGAAAGCCAGGGCAGCTATCATCCGAGTCTTGAGCGCGAAGTCATCGTCCGTGTTGTAGCGACTCCAGAGACCTTCGCTCGCGACGCGGAGCTTGATGTTTATGACAAAATGGAAGGAACATCCGTGAATGCGGGTCTCCGATGAGGATCCATCATAGCTCGCTC